GTCCGTAATTATTTGTCTATTTTGACAAATCAAGAAAGGACAAAAAAAATAATTATCCATTATATCCTCAATTAATTACTTTGAAAATGGTAGTACTAGTTTTTAATTCATCCACTTCATAATTAATAGGGGTAAAATGGTAAACTTACTCTATCAATTATTGTTTTCTTAAAAAGTGTGTCAATTCAAAAGTTGACAAGTAATTAGGGACAAAAGAAGTATTGTCCGAAGTACCAAGCAAGCAATCTCAAGTAGTCTTAGGGTCCATTTGGATTGACTTAAAAAAATAGTTTTTAAGTCAAAAATAAAAAGTCAAATTGAAATGACTTTTAATTAAAAAAATAAAAAGTAGGGGGAGACCTACTTTTGGTTTTTGACTTATTTTAAGTCATTCTTGACCTTGTCAAATACTTCCAGAAATAAAAAACTGACTTAAAAGTAGGTTTGATCAACTTTTAAGCCAATCTAAACACCCTCTTAATCCATGACTAGTAATCTATCAAATTAGGTTAGACAACGTACACGATTTTACGAAAAGTCAAAATAGTCAGTCTTTGATCAACTTAATCGTCAAATCCTGAAATAAACTACATGAACGAATTGGCGCCTATAACCTTGAGGTTTCATTTTAATAGTCAAGTATAAATTTTGACTTAGTTAGGTCATATCTCCAATTAATTACCTCGTTATTATATCAAAATCCCCCAACTTAGTGTTCAAATCTCATTGATTTATAGCTAAATTTGCACCAAAATCAAATATATCATCATACTGTATTAGACAATTTATATTTCAATAATTCAAATTGAAATAAACTCCTTTGATCCACCCTCACTGGCTCCTACCTTTAAAAAATGAACAAAATTCAGGTAATTTGAAATTCGTTACTACATGAATTATTTATATCGATCAGGCGATCATTTTTAGTTTTTCTTTCAAAACAAATGCTAACTTTGATCTCCTTATGAAATAGGGTTTGAGGTTTTCCATCCACAAAATTGTTTGTTTTTCCTTCCTTTTAGCAAACAACCTTAAGTTATAAAATATAATGCATTGTTCAGCACGTTTCGTCCATAAATACGAATTTCTACGCAACAAATCTGTAATAAATGATTAGAAAATAGTTTGGTTCTTAATTAAGATTCTATGAAAAGGAATTATAGTATTAGTATTTATTTATTTAAGGAAATAGATAGTGGTTATTACAACTGCACATAATATTATTAGAAATTATATTTAGTTCATTAATCACACTGACCCTAATGAAGTGTCGTCAAATACAAAATTAGTATGACTTCCTCAAACTCCCAACTTTGTGTCCTCTAGGGCCGGTGCCCCTCTTTAATATGACTTCCTCCAACTCCCAACTTGTTTTTTTTTTTTAAATTGATATTCGATATTTATATTGGAGTTCTAACTGAATTCGAATCATGCATTTCAGGGCTCGTTCTGGAATGACATTTTCAATAAGATTATTTTCATACTTAGAATTCGAATTTGAGACCTCTAATTAAAAGTGGGAGATCTTTACGCATCAATTTGGTGGATAGGTATTTCATGAGCAAATAACATTAAGGGTGTGTTTGATATAGTTGTACAAAATGTTTGGAAAATTCTTTCTCTAGAAAAACAAATTCCTTAAAATGAATTTCGTTGGAAAAACAAAGTTTTATAAGTATCATACTATGTTTATTGTGTTGAGTTTTAAATTAGGTGTGAATGTGAAATAAGAATGAATGAGAATTGAGAAATGTGGGGGAACCAATTTGGAGGGAAAATAAAAATCATTGAAACTTCATATTGGTAGAAAAAAAGGAAAAAAATAGTCCTTATATTAGGAAACACTTCCTATATATAGCTCTTAAAGGGTTAAGTAGGTGCCCCTCGTGCCGTCGTCGTCGTTCGGCCTCGGCTTTGACTTTGACAAATGATTGATTGATAGTTTTTTAGGAAAAAAATATTTAATCAATCTCATTAATTAATTTTCTTTTTCTTAAAAATTAATTCAGAATGTTAATTAATTAATTAACAGAACTAATTTCGCGTAACGAAATTGTTTGAAAATTCGTGTAACGGTAATGTCGCTCAGAAGGGACATGTTCCTTCCGAATAGACACTTCTTTTTCCAAAAGAAACAAACGTTCTAAAAAGACATGTCTGAACAGATGCGTTCACACTCTTGTCTGAACAGATGCGTTCACACTCTTGTCCGAACAGCTGTGTCGCTTGCTGCAGTTGGCTATAAATAGAGAGACTTCTCTCATTTTTCATATACTGAAATTTTTTCTCTCTTCTGCATAAATTTACATTTTCTTACAAATAAAATTGTCGATCGACTGAGTCTGTGTATGCTCTCCTTGCTGATTTTGAGTTTGCTGAAATTATTGAAAGTTTGAGGTACCGCTACTTCTTTAATAGTTAATCCATTTTATCTTGGGATGAATTAATTTACAGGGAATTAAATTTCTTAAAGATGCACAGTGAATTCTGTGGACTGAGATTACTTCTTTTTTGTCTGACTATTTCATCTTTTCTGTTTCTGTATTTACTAACTTGAATATAGGAGATAACATATTGTATCCACCCACTCATCCAATTGTCATATAGGATGTCACGTAGGATGAATGTGTCTATTCGTCCTACATGACATCATATATGACAATTTGTGTCCTAGGCGTATCATGACATGTAAGACGCGTGTGTCTACTTATAATTTATACAAATTTAAGTGTCTATACTTGTGCACATCTAAGATTGAAAGGCACATAAATATCAGTTAAAGCTAGATAAAAGGACGTATTTTTGTATTATACTTTTTTTATATTTACATACCAAACACAACTTATTTATTAAAAAAAAAAACATTTTCCGCAGAGAATAGTCTCCATCATACCAAACACATCCTTAAAAGTACGTAAAAGAAAGAAAAAGATTACTTCTGAGCATGTCAATACTAAACTTGAAGAAAATTCATGCCGTTATTACTCTATTGGACGTAATTTTCAATGAATGGCACTATCCTACCAAAAGACGTTTTCTTCAAATTTGTACATTGCTTGTTCAAGATCAACGAATAATAGTTTGGTCCAAAAATAATATTGTAATGAATATTTGATCCAAAAATGACCTTGTCGTTACTTTTGAGTTAAGAACGCCTTTTTTCTTAATAAACAAAAAGAACGGATAAAGATTCTATCATATTAGCTTGAATCTCATTTAAAAAGCAAGATATATATATACCTTAGCCTAAAATGATTTTTTTATTTTTTTAATTTAAATTTAACTGTAATTATTGTATTTTCACCAACAAAAATTATGAGAAAAGAATCTGTCATTAAATTTTATTTTATTTTTTGTTTGCTGACCTTCAGGTGGATTTTTGATAACCAAAAAAAGAAAAAGAGAAAGGAAGATGCTACGCATGTGCCTTACATGGTTACATCCATTTAATACACAAATTTTAAAAGCTGTAAATCTAATATTTCAAATATACAATAATCTTTTATTAGCTTCAACTGAAATAATTTATTTACACCATGATCTTGAAAATAAAGTACAAAACAAATCCCAACTAATCCGTAGAACCATTATATCCAGCTCTTACCTGTGCTCTTTGTTTCCATTTTCCTCAACATGGTGTTACTTAAAAAGAAAAAAAATAACAAAAAGATGGAAAATAAAAAGTTTGTCTTAATATGCAAATATTAAAAAAAATCAATTTCATCTTCCTTGCCTCCCTCCTCTTAATTGCAGTCTTGTTTCGTACGTAGTACTTTTACATTAATATTGATCATATCATAAGCATGATTCGATTTGGATGATTCTGGATTTTATCAATACCGCAACATAATAGGGATACATTACATTGATATATAGGTGACGATACTTATACTGATGGGGTAACAATTCTCCATGTATTCGTGCAAGTTGGATCGACACCATCATTATATATATATATATATATATATATATATATATATATATATATATATTTAAAATTGTTTTGTTTCCTTTTTTTTTCTTCTAGTTTCTTGTCATTGCTTATACTGGTTTACATCATACTTCATATAAGACTTTATTTTACTTAGGATTTAAGACTATAGGGATTATTTCTATCTTTTTGCAATTTAGAAGGATGAGATTTAGATGTATATTAATTATAAATTAGGCTTGAAATAAAAGAAATAAGTAAGACATGATGATCATGGGTTGTTGAGGATGCCTAATTAATTGGTTAGTCCTAGCCAGTATCATTTACACTAACCTATGCTGATTTTATTCTCTACAACTTTTATTATTAATGTTATTTTTCTGATTTTCATTGATTCGATTAATTCAAATTACATCATTAAAAGCTCAGAGCATTCCTACTAAAGTTGACTCAGTTTCAGTACTTGAACTGAAATCTCTAGTTGAGGGTACAAGAGTATTTACTACTCCTTCATCCATGTTTGACTTGGCACACCCCTTAAGAAAATTAAATAGACTAATAATTTTATTATATCACCCATATTAACTATAAGTCGTCTAAATGTTAAAAAATGAATAGGGAGTATTTAATAGAAAGGGTAAAATAGATACAAAATGATAAAGTATCGATCTCTTGATTTTCCAAACTGAACAAGTAAAGTTGGATAACTATTTTTAGTATTTCAGACAAGTAAAGATGAACGGAGGGAGTATTGCAACCTCATATTTCAATTTTTACTTTTTTGTTTACCTTATTTTGGTTCAATAATTGAGTAATGGTGATCATGAACCACACTACTAACTATTAAATATAGTATGGTCAAACAACAAACTTTAGCATAATGCATTAATTTTGTTTGCATCAACACTTACGTCAAATCACTAAAATAGCATCTAGAAGTTGATCCTCTACTCTATTTTATTCTCTTTACTTTGTATATATAAATCACATCTCCTTTACACATAATTTCAAGAATCAAAACTCCCTCCAAACCATAAAAGGTGGAGGAACTAAGCTAAAAGATTCTTTCTTTTGAATTATACTTATATGTAAAAAGTAAATGGAGGGTGGTGGAGATATATTGAAGGTGAGTAGTGCACGTTTGAGTAGTTCAAATGTATGGAGAAATAGTGCTATGGATGTGTTTTCAAGGTCATCAAGAGAAGATTACGATGATGAAGAGGCGTTGAAATGGGCTGCTCTTGAGAAACTTCCAACGTATCTTCGTATAAGGAGAGGCATTCTTAGTGAAGAACAAGGACAATATAGAGAAGTTGATATAACAAAGCTCGATTTGGTGGAAAGGAGGAATCTTTTAGAGAGGCTTGTCAAGATTGCTGATGAAGATAATGAGAAGTTCTTGTTGAAGCTCAAAAAAAGGATTGATAGGTACATATTTATTAAGATGTTTTACGAGAAAGTCATTTTCTGGTGTTTTGTTATTGGAAAATGACTTTAGTCGTACCAAACAATGTTGAAATATCATTTTCTTGTGATTTTTGATATGATGCAGAGTTGGTTTGGATCTTCCTACAATTGAAGTCCGGTTCGAGCATTTGAATGTAGATGCAGAAGCTCGTGTAGGTAGTAGAGCTTTACCAACAATATTCAACTTCACAGTTAACATCTTAGAGGTAATAATAATACATACATACATACTAGGACTAGTCCTGTATCATATTGTAAAATTACATGCAATATATTATACTCATTTTTTTAAGTTTCTGTGTAAAAGGATTTCTTGAATTATCTTCATATCCTTCCAAGTAGAAAGAAACCATTACCAATCCTTCATGAGGTCAGTGGAATCATCAAACCAGGAAGGTGAGAAAAACACTTGTGTCAAAAAGGTAATTTTTAGACAAATCAAGAAAGTCCTGTTTATTCATTCATTTCAATCTTGTTATGCAGAATGACACTGCTTTTAGGACCACCAAGTTCAGGAAAAACAACGTTGCTGTTAGGTTTGGCTGGGAAACTTGATAAAGATCTCAAAGTAAGAAACACGATTAGACATAATACAGTTTTCAGATTAGTGAGGAGTTCTGTGTTGGTAGTCAATAAATCTATTCGTTTTCAGGTTTCAGGGAGAGTTACATATAATGGTCATGGGATGGATGAGTTTGTGCCACAAAGAACATCTGCTTATATAAGCCAAAATGATCTTCATATTGGAGAAATGACAGTCAGGGAAACATTGGCATTTTCTGCTAGATGTCAAGGAGTTGGAGCCAAATATGGTCAGTGAGATTCCCTTATTCTGGGATATCACAATAAACATGTTGCATTTCCAATCCCTTTTTGGGAATCGCGTACTTTTTTTTAATTAGTTTGTTATGAATATGCAGAAATTTTGGCAGAGTTGTCTAGGAGAGAGAAGGAAGCAAATATTAAGCCAGATCCTGATGTTGATATCTTTATGAAGGTGAAGACATATTAAACAGAAAATTCAGATTCATGTTATATTTGTTTTATTAAATTATGATAAGAACTTGGTTTGACTATGGGGTTTATTTAACAGTCAGCATGGAATGACGGACAGGAGGCAAATGTTGTAACAGATTATACTCTCAAGGTAAATGGCATATGCACTATGAAGCAACAATGCAGAAACTAGAAAACAATGCACCAATTCTCTATTCTATGTATTGTTTTCAGATATTGGGACTTGAAATTTGTGCTGATACCATTGTTGGAGACGAAATGATTCGAGGAATTTCTGGGGGGCAGAGAAAGAGGCTAACAACAGGTTGGGTTAAACAGACACCTTGTATGGTCTAAAATAGTAATGGATGTTGTAGAAACCATAAACATATACAAAGAGTAGCGAAAAAGTTATCGTGCTAAACTTGTTGATAACTTGTAATACAGGGGAGATGATGGTTGGGCCAGCAAGAGCACTTTTTATGGATGAGATATCGACTGGTTTAGACAGTTCAACGACCTATCAGATTGTCAATTCAATTAGGCAGTCAATCCACATTCTTCAAGGAACTGCTGTAATCTCACTTCTGCAGCCTGCACCAGAAACTTATGACTTGTTCGATGATATTATTCTCTTATCAGATGGGCAGATTGTGTACCAAGGTCCCCGGGAGAATGTACTCGAGTTCTTTGAGTACTTAGGCTTCAAATGCCCCCAGAGGAAAGGAGTTGCTGATTTCTTACAAGAAGTAAACCCCATTGATAATTACTCCCTCAAATCTTTCGAGTCGTGGAGAATTTCTTGTTTCTAATTATGCTCATTTACTATGTGTTAATAAAAGGTGACATCAAGGAAGGATCAAGAGCAATACTGGGCACGTCGTGATGAACCTTATAAGTTTATCACAGTGCGCGAATTTTCTGAAGCATTTCAATCATTTCATGTTGGAAGGAAGCTTGGTGATGAGCTTGCTGTTCCCTTTGATAAATCCAAGAGCCACCCTGCTGCTCTAACCACCAAGAGGTATGGTGTTAGCAAGAAAGAACTCTTAAAAGCATGCACAGCTAGAGAATACCTTCTTATGAAGAGGAACTCATTCGTCTATATATTCAAGATGATACAAGTAAGTAGCAAGTCAAAATGAACAAGTCAACTTTTCAAGTTCCAAAATGCTAGTGTAGAAGTAAAACATACTATTTTTTGTTATCTTTTCAGCTAACATTGATGGCTACTATAACAATGACACTCTTCCTACGAACTGAGATGCACAGAAATACAATGATAGATGGTGCAGTATTCTTGGGTGCACTGTATTATGCAGTTATCATGATTATGTTCAATGGGTTTTCAGAGCTTGCCCTCAGTATTATGAAGCTTCCTTCCTTTTACAAACAACGCGATCTACTTTTCTTTCCTGCTTGGACATATGCTCTGCCTACTTGGATCCTCAAGATTCCGATCACACTTGTAGAAGTTGCTATTTGGGTGTGTATGACTTATTACGTAATTGGATTTGAGGCAGACGTTGGAAGGTAGAAATTTGATCTTTTTAACCATGAAACTTCTTGGTTCATAAGATCTCATCAAGATTATTTTTCTATTTGCAGGTTCTTCAAACAGCTATTTCTGCTCATATGTCTTAACCAGATGGCCTCGGGTCTGTTTCGATTCTTAGCAGCTCTTGGAAGGAATGTCATTGTTGCAAATACATTTGGATCATGTGCACTACTCATAGTTCTTGTAATGGGTGGATTCATTCTGTCAAGAGGTAAAATTGCAGAATATTTTGTAAAACCACAAGGGCAATGCTCATTTATATGTTCTTCGTGTTTTGTTTATTTCATTTAAAAGGAAGCTATTTGTCTATCAGATAATGTGAAGCAATGGCTGATATGGGGATACTGGATTTCCCCTATGATGTATGCACAGAATGCTATAGCTGTGAACGAATTTCTAGGGAAGAGTTGGTCACATGTAAGATAAATCTTCTGTAGTTTTGGAAGGACAGGCCTTTAAGGTAGATTTGAGAGTTTATTCTTGAATTTTTCAATAGGTTCCTCCGAACTCCACGGGCACAGATACATTAGGAGTGTCATTCTTGAAATCGCGTGGAATCTTCCCAGAAGCAAGATGGTATTGGATTGGAGTAGGAGCTCTTCTTGGATATGTTTTGCTATTCAATTTCTTGTTCACAGTGGCCTTAGCTTATCTCAACCGTAAGAATCCATCTACTATTATGCAATCTAATCTCATTTCCATATATAGGATGATCCTAACATATCAACAAGGTGGGTAATTTTGGTGCAGCATTTGGTAAACCTCAGGCAGTTCTTTCTGAAGAAACTGTGGCTGAGAGGAATGCAAGCAAAAAGGGTGAGGTTATTGAGCTATCTCCGATAGGAAAGAGCTCTTCAGGTAGATATTTCTTCCCTTTGAACTGCACTTTCAACTTAATATTTTCCACTAAGTACTAATGGTATCAAGGCCAAATATGCAGAAAGAGGAAACGATGTTAGGCGAAGTGCATCTTCCAGGTCTATGTCCTCAAGAGTAGGCAACATAACTGAGGGTGATTTAAACAAGAGAAAGGGAATGATTCTTCCTTTTGAACCCCTTTCTATTACTTTTGATGATATCAGATATGCAGTAGACATGCCACAGGTACATATAAGATTTAGTCTATGGAAATCAACTGTCCTATACATGTCTGAGTTAAATTCTTAAGTCTATGTTGTGACTTCAGGAAATGAAATCTCAAGGTTTTATCGAGGACCGACTTGAACTCTTGAAAGGGGTGAGTGGTGCTTTTAGGCCAGGAGTTTTGACAGCTCTAATGGGTGTTAGTGGAGCTGGTAAGACCACTCTTATGGATGTCTTAGCTGGTAGGAAAACCGGTGGATACATTGAAGGAACCATCAGTATATCAGGATACCCAAAGCAGCAAGAAACGTTTGCTCGGATAGCTGGATACTGTGAGCAAACTGACATTCATTCACCTCATGTTACAGTCTACGAGTCATTGCAGTATTCTGCTTGGCTTCGACTGCCTCGTGAAGTTGACACTGAAACCCGAAAGGTAAATCAGTCTGGAATTTGGCTAATAGGATTGCTAATAGAACTTGAAACTGGATGTTATATTAAAATGTATCATTGCAGAGGTTCATAGAGGAGGTCATGGAACTAGTAGAGCTAAAACCTCTAAGAGAAGCACTTGTTGGATTGCCTGGCGTGAATGGTCTTTCAACTGAACAACGAAAACGACTTACAGTTGCAGTTGAACTTGTTGCCAACCCTTCTATAATATTCATGGATGAGCCAACCTCTGGATTAGATGCTAGAGCAGCTGCAATAGTGATGAGAACAGTTAGAAACACTGTAGATACAGGTCGAACGGTAGTCTGCACCATTCATCAGCCTAGCATTGACATATTTGATGCTTTCGATGAGGTGAGCAACAGTCGATCTTCCATAATCTAGCAATTTAAAATAATTGTTTTAGAGAAAGAGATTCTCATTCTACTAATGAATTGCAGCTCCTACTCCTGAAACGAGGAGGCGAAGAAATATTTGTCGGCCCATTAGGACGCCATTCTTCTCACCTTATTAAGTATTTTGAGGTAAGGGAACTGTTAGTGTAAAGAAACTGGAATTCCTATTATGTTGGTCTAGTACACTAAGTAATGGTTCTTTTTCCATTTTCCTCAGGGAATCGATGGAGTTCCGAAAATCAGAGATGGTTACAATCCAGCAACATGGATGTTGGACATAACTTCAGTAGCACAAGAAACAGCTCTTGGAGTTGACTTTACTGAATTGTACAGGAACTCAGAATTGTATAGGTATGAATCATCAAGTTGAACACAATGACATTCTATGTAAAGAATTACAATATATATTCTTGAATTCTGAATGGAGCAAATATTCAGGAGAAACAAAGCTTTAATCAAGGAACTAAGTGTGCCAGCCCCAGGTTCAAAAGACCTCTACTTTCAAACTAAGTATTCTCAGTCTTTCTTCACCCAATCCATGGCTTGCTTCTGGAAACAGCACTGGTCGTACTGGCGAAATCCTCCTTACACAGCAGTCAGGCTCTTGTTTACATTCTTCATTGCTCTCATGTTTGGAACAATATTTTGGGATCTTGGCTCCAAAAGGTAACAGAAACATACATGAACTGTTTTTCATCTTCAAGATTTATTTTTCTCGATGTGTTTTTATTCACAAGTCTAATGGTTTTGAACCCAATTTCAGGAGAAGGCAACAAGATATTTTGAATGCAATAGGTTCAATGTATGCCTCTGTCTTGTTTCTTGGTGTACAAAATGCTACTTCAGTGCAGCCAGTCGTTGCTATTGAGAGGACAGTTTTCTACAGGGAAAGAGCTGCTGGAATGTATTCAGCTCTGCCTTATGCTTTTGGACAGGTATAGATCAATTTAATTTGATCAAAACCACTGTAATGTTGACCATTGACTGTTAATTTTATTGTATCACCACTTGCATTAGCTATGCTCATCGGATGATTTTTTTTTAAGCAGATTATGATTGAGCTGCCATACATTTTCATCCAGACAATCATATATGGTGTTATAGTCTATGCCATGATTGGATTTGAATGGACAGTTGCCAAGTTCTTTTGGTATCTGTTCTTCATGTACTTCACCTTGTTATACTTCACATTGTACGGGATGATGACAGTAGCCGTTACTCCTAATCACAGCATTGCAGCCATCGTTTCATCTGCATTTTATGCAGTATGGAATCTTTTCAGTGGATTCATCGTTCCAAAAACAGTAAGTTACCTACTAACTCTTCTTCAAATTGCATTACCCTCAACACAACATTTTCGTCAGAAGCATGAACAACCTAACAATTTTCTCTCCTTTTTTTTGGTTTATGACAGAGAATGCCAGTGTGGTGGAGATGGTACTATTACATTTGCCCGATTTCATGGACATTATACGGACTAATTGCCTCACAGTTTGGAGACTTACAAGACAAATTGGAAACAAAGGAAACAGTGGAAGAATTCATAGAGAGTTTCTTCGATTTCAAATACGATTTTGTGGGATATGTTGCAGTCATTCTAGTTGGAATATCAGTTGTTTTTCTCTTCATTTTTGCTTACTCAATCAAAGCATTTAACTTCCAGAAAAGATAGGTTGGTTCTGGTAAAAGGGCTTTGTCAAGAAATGTGTATATTAGGACAATAATATAATAGTAGTATCTTTTTATGATATTCTCAATTTTGGAATTAAAGTTTGTTTCCTGTAGAGGCTGTATCTAAGAATAACTTGTACACATTGTTATATATGGGAAAAGTTTTGAGTTTCTTTTGTAACACATCTTTGAACTTGTCGGGCATCTCTGAATTCAAACTCGTGAAGCTACTCTTTTACACGAGTCTATTCTTCTTGTTTTTCTTTTTTGAACAGCTGTTGTGTTCGGTTTTTCAAAAAACACAACACACGAGTGCCTATACCTGAGGAGATTCAAAACCACAGCGGCAGAAGTTAAAGTTTAACACACGGGGTATAAAATTTCATAGCCTTGTTGCAGTCAATTGATATCGTTGCGAGATTTCTCAGCTAGTTGCCTAGCAAGCAAAATCAACTGTTTAAATTATGTGATTTGTTTAGCTACTGTATAATATGCTCTGTAGGAACCAGAGTTCGTTGCTTGTTTTGTCTTCCTTGTTATAATTTTTTATTATATAAATTATAATTGAGTTCCAGATAACTAGTTCTACTAAAACAATATTCTTAATTTAATTATTTGTCAGTACTTCTAACACTTCAATAATAAACTATAGCTATGAACTTGCTTCGTGAACAAATTGGAGAAGAACAAATTGTACCTTCCATCATTGTATTTCAGGTGAAAATCTAGTTAGGAAATGTTCTTGTGGATGTAAATTCGCGAGTTTTTGGCCGAAAACACTCTTTAATTGTGCCTCAAATTTAAAACATCCTTGTTACTGCTATAAATGAAACATATTCTTGAAGTATCTAAAATTTAAGGCATAATACATAAAAGTGTCATTTAACTTGGCGTCAGCTGACATGGTGCCCTCCAACTTTGGATTAACTTTGAATGCACATAAGTAGACACTTAGACTTGTATAAAACTGAGAAAATACTTTTTATCTCTGGCCGTCGGACATCAAATTTTCTCTCACACGTATTTAGGGCTTTATGTATTTGAGAGAATGCTTTTTATTTTATTTTTTCATGTTTTCAAGAGTCAATTTTTTTAGTCCGCTCAATTCAGAGTATTAGGGACCAATTATTGATAATATTAGGGACCATAATTGTCCTTCGTCCGACAATTAAGGACCAAAACACAATCTGGTCCTTACAAGTTACAAGTATGTTTTGAGGTATCAGATTTTTGACTTGTTCGACTTATTTCCAGAATTTTAGTTTTGATCGCGGCTTCCCCTTTTTTTTGCATAAGCTCACCAATTAGGATGCATGACTAACGTATCTTCTTCTTTTTTTTCAAATGATTTGGGCCGTCCCTGACTCCCTTCGTGGGGAGTGGAGCGTTAAGGGGCTTTTGTTTTTGAAACAGACCACTGTGTTTTGCTACTAAATGTTAGTCATTTATATGCCTCTTTCTTATAGTGTCACGTGAAGGGTATTACTGATTTGCTCTCAAAATTATGATTATAATGATGTAAATTGTTGGCTTATGTATGCTGGATATTATAGAAGAGATTTATTTTATGCGCAACTAATGAATATGTCTTTAGAAATTAGTGTGATGTAGTCATTGTGTCGAGTGGGAGAATCCAAATCATTTCTCGAACAAGTACAATTCCAAATCAAAGCCAAAGCTTCGAAAGTCACATAAGTATCCTCCAATGACTATACTATCTACCATAGGTCATAGCAACGTATTTGTAATTTTTCAAAGGCCTTAATGTATCATACTCATGGGCGGAGCTACCCTTGCCCGAGGGGTGTCAAGCGACACCCCTTCATCGGAAAATTATGTTGTCTAGGTAGGCTAAATTTTGATTTTATTACTATATATATTATAGTTGGCACTCTTTAAAACAAGATGAAGAGTTAGCTCAGTGGTTGAGGGGCTGCAAAATATCTCCTTAATCTTTGGTCTTGAACGTCAGGGGTTTGAACCTGGTTGGGATTTCTTATTTTTACAACGTCTTTTTTTTTATTAAAATTAAGACTTCAAGAAGCGTCTTTTGTTTTAAAATTTTAGAAAACTGAAGCTTTTTTTTTCCGCCAATTTTTGAGCGATTGACTTAAATAAAGTTGACTTTACTATTTTATTTTTTAAAAGAAAAAATGTACTTTATAGATTAAACAAATCCCTAATTTCAAAATTAAAGGGTTTGAGGAGGAAGAGCCCAAAAAAAATCGTTTTTGTTCGCTGCCTTCGATGTGACTCTTCGTCGGGCGTCGCCAAACGATTGTGATGATGTAATTATTTTTTGCTTTCATTAGTAAAATTTATTTTGTTGATTTTTATGTGTACTTACTACTTTGTATTTTGACACCCCTCAATGTAAATTCTGGCTCCGCCACTGATCATACTCATTGGATTTTGTGGAACATATGGTTTATTGGCCAAGGTTTTTAAGTTACTTTCAAGGGGCAAATAAGTCCAAACGTAAATTTGTATATTACTAAAATTAGATTAAGAGAATTGTTACAAGAAAATTAAAATAAGAAAAGTAAGTTCAATATCGTAAATCATCATAAGGAAAATATAAGGGTTATAAAAGAGAGGTTTCTAAAATTATTCAAACTTAAATATTAAAACGGAAGAGTTTAATTAATACTCCTATATATTACGATAATACATATAAAAGTAAATATTGGCTGGTGAAAGGGAAAATTGTTCCGAAAAATGAATTTAATAGTATAATAAGTGCAACAAATTAATGAAAATGATAGGCATCGTCTAATATTGGAGTTCCCTTAGAAGAAAAACAATTTACGCAACGAATTCCTCTCCCAAATTTTTGGAGATACACTTACGACGGTAAATAAACGTGAGATTCTATTTTTAGAAAGGTACTTACTTTTCTTTCTAATGACAGATAAATATTGCAGGACTAAGTACTACTCTGTATTTTATTTGTCTCAATTTATGTGCAACATTTGAAATTTCAAAAATCAATCAAGTTTTTCTTTGATCTTAATTTATATACTCTTTAAATATTTTATATAAGTAATTTTTATGATTTATAACGATTTTTTTACATTGTTTTCAAATGTAAAAAATTTGATTGAATATACCATCAAAGTTTGAATCTCAAAAGTTCAGTTCTGCAAAATAGATTGGGACTGAGAAGAAATAATAATTTTCCAGATGAAATTTTATAAAAATGATTTGAGTACTATTCAATCCCTCAAAGTTTTAGGTGTCTTGTGTAATGCGTGCAAGCAATTGGTATGGGAAGATTATAAAAAAGTGTAGCTTTCATATTTTTGTTGGTTAACTTTGAAATTTGAACTTTGAAATCAGACACGCAAAAGGTCTGGAAAGAAGAATTACAAGCTGACACGCAAGAATATTTGGACTAATTGCACAAATCTTATCAATATTTCTTTAACTACAAAACTACTCCCGAGTTTTAAATAGTTAATTTAAGTCATTCAATTATTGATATTTGGTTATGAACTTTAAGAAATTGTGTCTTTTATGCAATATAATTTATGATCCCCATGACGACCTTGTTCTATCACTTAGGTGTTACTCTCCCCGTCCATTTTTACGTGTATTGATTTGACACACTTCTTAATGAGCAATAGATAATTATATCATCACTTGAATATAATAAACTCAATAATTTGTAAAATGACTATAGTGAACTTACTTTTTTATTTATTGTTTCTAAATAATGAAGTACTATAATTTAAAATTTCGAAAAGTAGTACTCCATATGTTTAATTAGAGTAACCTCAAGGGATGTTTATGGAAACAATGAAACTAATAAATTAGTATCTCAAATTGATTGAAACAAACCAAAAGGGTCCTACTCCACGTGTCAAGAGAAGAAGGGAAATTAGGCACCTTGTGAGTTAGCGTAAACTGACCAATGACTCCACCAACCACCAAGCCTCATTCAACAATAAACGAAGTACAAAATTATAAATATCTATCGAACTATTGAAGATATAGTACCACTATTATTAACAAAAAGGAAAAACAAAATTATAGTACCTATAGCAATTGTACTACTACTCTTTGTTTTCCTCTTCATTTGTTTTGAGAAAAAAATCTAAAGTATAGAAGATGGCTATTTCAACAAAGCTATGCCTCAATCTCTCCCCACAACCTCCTCCTACTTCTAATTATAATAATCATAATAATAACTCAATTCCTCCACCTTCTCAAGTTTCTTGGTGAGTCTACTAGTACGTACTATATACATTTTTATTTTATCATACTTTGCTTTTCATTTTTGCATGTTTGTGTGTCCATCATATCCAAATTTATTCATCTGTTTCATTTTATACGACATTATATATATATTAGAAGAAAAATATTTATATTTACAATCTCTTTAAAATGTTCATTTTATTTTTATTGACATTTTTTCTATGGGATCAAAATTCGGCCATAAGTTGATTGACAGATATTATTCGATACATGCCAAAATAATATTCTATCTTTTTTTATTTATTTAAATTATTATTTTGATTTTCTTCCGCAGGCAACGAAAAGAAAAATCATGGAAAAATCAATGTGTATTAGGGATGGCATGTGTTGTAATTATTGGATTAGAATTTGACAGCACAATTTTAGGTAATCAAGAAAGTACGATTGCGATCGCCGGAGACATGCAAATACAATATGTCGCCGGAAAATCAATACAAAAATGGAGTGAGAAAAGATCGTGTCCACCGTGGAACGTGAACTCGTTAGAAACCATCGTGCCGGAAAACCTACCAAGACCGGTGACTCGCCGGAGATGGGAAAACGTTGATTATAATACTACTGCTCAATCTGCACCTGAAGTGAAATTAGTGACAAAATTTAGTAAAGGGTGTTTCACTATGTGAACATACTAATTAAGTTTAATGTGTATATATAGATAAGGAGTTCAACTGAATTCCCTTCGTTGATAATAGGACAAAATATTTTTCACGTTTTATATGAACATGTAAATTCTGTGATATAATAAAACATTCAGTATAGTTATAATTTGTATAAAGTTATTTTAAAAAGTTG